TCATATTTGTATTGGAATGCTAAAATCTATCATGGCAACAATATTCATTTCTATCCTGGTAATATTGCACAAATGTTTGTAACAGTTGAAAAATATCAATTACACTGACATCATAATCATTCCAAACTAACCATTCCAAATTTATTTGTACAACTACAACATAACATGGGGGATGCATAAGCTGTGAATATTTCTTTTGACCTTCCTTGACAGAGTCTGGCCCTCAATCATTTGTCATTGTTTTCACATCTTAGTAATTTCTTCTTTTAATTATATGATAGCAATCTCTCCTTTCACCCCCAACACCTGAGTGGAGAGGGGAGGGTGTGTTACTGTCAGAATGATTCCTTCCAGCTCCAACCTGGGACCATACAGAAGATGTACTTCTAAGACATTTGTGTGGATTGAGAGTACGGACTTCACTCCTTCCCAGTAATTTTCACAGAAGCCTCACTTCTTCACATGTGAGACAGAAAGAAATGTTTCTTCCTGATCCTTCATTTTAAAGTCTAATGAAACCATGTGATTTTAAAAGCACACACTAAGAATCAGTCACAAGGTTCACGTACTGTTCTCCAAATCATTAGTATTGATTTATTAGTCTCACTTGGGGAGGCATAGACTGAAGCATCCATGCATTCATTGTTTAGTGCTGCTATGTAGATGATGAGTCTTCACAACTCCTGTTGTTCCATCACCCCAACGTTGCAGAAAGGAGACTGCCTGGGAAGTGTATTCATGGTGCGTCACCTTGCTAATTGCCATAGTCTAACACTGATTGATCACTCCCTCTCCGTACTATAAAATCAGTATTCTACAAGTCTTGATAAGAAGGTAATATTAGCATATATTCATGTGCATAAAACTAAAAATGCAACTTAATTTGCTATTACTGCTTAGCAAATTAAGTAAGATATTTAAGCAATACACATTCACTATGCTAAAGTTTTTATGACTTTACTGGGGAGCCCAGTCATGATCTTCCAATCTACAATCTGTACACTAGTCAACCTTTGTTCATCTCGAAATATGGGATGCGTCTTGCAACCTCAAGCAGCAGAATGTAAAAGTTAGTTCCTTGAGGTTGTAGATCTGAATAGAAGTTCCTCCTGACAGCCTCTTCAGTTTTCAGGTGGACTAGCTTTGTGTACTTCATATTGATGCTTTCAGGGAGATATCATCTGTGAAGTGTAATTAAAGCAATCACTATGCATTTCAAGAAGGATTCCCTTAAGCCAAACAGAATTTTTTAATTAGGGAAAAATCATTCTTCACGTTTCAATATTAATGTACAAACTATAGCATTTTCCTTTTCATTGTGGATTACTATTGATTTTACTATAACTTAGCTTCCTTTTCTAAGTACTTACATTTATAGTTTATAACAGAAATTTATAAAGTACAAAAACAGATGTTCATTGCCTTAGGAGTACAATTAACATTTGACATACATAAAAGACAATGTAATTGACCTAATGCTAAACAGTCTACGAAGACATTGCCTTTGTCCTTCACACATCACAAGCATTAGTATTTATGTTGATAACCTGATTTCTCTTTCCCAAACTATAGACAAAACTGTGTGATGCATTTATATTCTTTAGGATTTTTATGGAAATGTATAATTTGCTGGAATACTCATTCATAAGATATAACTTATAACTCATACAAATTCCATTGTTCCTTGACCCTTGGATGCATCATGTCATAAGAATGGGTTGAAGTCAGTACTTTAATTTTGCCCAAACTAAATCCTCCAGAATCTCATAATATTGTCATGCATTACTTTAAGTGGCAAAAATAAAGCATTTAATGTAACATAGTGATAAATATATACAATTAAATCATGTTTAAACTATGGACTCATGTAGAAATATAGTTTCCCTGAATATGTTCATTTTATAAATAAGTTATTTGAAAGTGATTTCATAAACCTAATAGTTCAGTATATTTATCAAATATTTATAATATATAGATACAGACATAAAAAGATCAAATCATCTCTGATGTAATTTTAGAGACATTAATAATAATACCTTTTCTTATTATTTCTCTGTTTCTATCATTGATCTTTCCCTGGCACACTTTAAGTGCTGTGTGAATTGCAATTTACTTTGTAAGATTTGCTCTGTATAAAGTTCTAACTTCTTTATTTTCTTCTTTTTCATAAAGCTATTATATTCTTCCTATTAATTGTATCTTGTCATATGTTTCTTTATCTTATCATATTGTAAAATCAAGATGTGTGTATTCCATAATCTCTTTCTACTAAGAGAGTGCTGGTCAATCATTCTACATAACTAAGTAGAAAATAACTAGAAATGCAAAGGAGATTATTTTGTTTTTTTTTTAATGTCGAACATTATATAAACATGGAACCAGTAAAATGGCTCACATGATTAATGTACTTGCCATCAAGCCTGATGACAGTCCCTAGACCTATGGTAAAAGGAGAAAACCAACTCCCACAAGTCATCTTGAGAACTCCACATGGTTATCATAGATTGCACAAACATATACACTCCTGATATACATATCTACACACTAAAAAATAAATACAAAGCAATGAAAATTGCTAATCCAAATATTACATATCAAGGACCATTTACTTCCAGTCATTTTAGTTCAAAACTACTGTATTTTTCCATTCAACATGACTTGCATTGACATCAAGCTTTCTATATTTGAAGAAGGATACTTTAGTTTTATGAAAATGTAACATATGATGTTCAAAGATCCAGATTTTATTTTTCAAAAAACATATGAATTGAATTATATACATATATATACAAGTGAATGTAAAAAGAAACCTAATTTTCTTTCCTAAGTTCTTACTTTTCTACTATATGTTATTAAGCAAAATTTTAATAGTTTTGAAACTTTTATTAATTTCTAAAACATAGCTAATACATTGGTAAACAATGGCTAGATTAGAGTTGATTAATGACTGGTTAATACTATTTTTTCTACTTTGACTAACAGGTATCAAAAGTGTTATTATAGATTCTATCCTGATGACTTCAGAAAGTCTAAATTCCAACGACTTACTGGCCTTTACCAAGATTTAGTTGGAATGTGGTTACTTATCAGATTTGTTTCAATTAATACAATTATGTTGCCTATAATAATCTCTTGCAAAAAGAGTAAATCATTAGTCTCTTACAAAACAAATAATGCTGAACCATGAACCTTGAGGCAGAAAAATCACTAAATGTGGGACTAGAAGGAGCAGTGTCTTCCTTCACTATGAATCCTTAGAGACAGGACATTTAGAAGCAGGTTATAAATTTTGATTAATTTGACTTAAACAATTTTTTAGATTTAATAGTCAGAACATATATGCTGATGAAAAATCAGAAAAATGAACAGAAAGGATGGAGGAAGTAGGGAGGGAGGGAAGGAGGGAGGGAGAGAGGGAGGGAGGGGGGATGGGAGAAATGGAGAAAAGAGGAAACAAGAGAATGTAGAGGTGAGGAAGAAAGAAGGGCTGGGGGGATAGGAAGGGAGAGACAGAAAAGGAAGAAAGAGGGAGAGAGACCGGAAGGAAATAAGGAAGGAAGGAAAGGAGAATGAAGGACATGAAGCAGGAAGTTCATCTATAATTATTTCATGAACTGGAAGCGTGTGTTATATTAGATTATATCTTTACAGAGACAGATGAATCAAGATGGTAGGAACTCATGAATTCTAGAATGACAACTTTGGAGACTTCAAAGGACCAAACTAGGTCCTCCATACATGGAGACAGTTGTGAAAATTGGTCTATCTGAGGGGCCCCTGGCAATAGAATGAGGACATTTCACTGGTGTGTGAGCTAGCTTTTGGAGCCTGTTCCCTATGTTGGAATGTCATGCTCAACTTTAATGCAGGGGGAGGGACTCGGTCATACCTTAACTCAATGTGCCAGGCTTTGTTGACTCCCTATGGAAGGAGTGGATGTAGGGTGGACTTAGAGGGAGGGGGAGGGGGAGGGAGAATTGTGGTTGGATTGTAAAATGAATTTTAAAAAAATAAAATTAAAAAAAGAATGTTTCTTTGCTTTAGAAATGGCAGGAAAGTCCCATGATTTAGTATAATTAGGTGTATAAACTTGAACTGTAAAGATGCGGCCAAGTTAATTTTAAAGAATATGTTGAGAAAAGAACAGGATTTTGAGACTGAAAAACTTTGGGAATAGTACTTCAATATCAAATGTAATAAAAATTCACTTAAATTAATAGGTAATTGTATCTTCATTAGAGATAAAGAGTTCTGATTTCTTAAATTATATTTTACTGTAAAACCCTTTGTTTGACATTTGTCACAAAAACATACCTGGTACAACATGTACTCACTTGTTTTTAGTTTATCTAGAAGCAGCACAGCAACTTAGATTGCAACAGTTCATATCTATCAGAATTCTTTGTCATAGTCATGGATGGGTAATTATAGAACAATCTGGCTATGGGAGTAAAGAACCAGGACTAAGTTATTCATACCCTGGAACAATATTCCTGTGCCACAAGCAGTACATGGTGAGGAGTTAGAGACAGAAGTGAAGAATAATCAATCAAAGGTTGTGGTCTTAGTACCACATGAAGTGTTGTCTGCATTGGGATTGTATTGTCCAGTTTGCAATAGCCATGGCTACCTTTCTGAGAGCAAATTGTTCTTAGTTTCATACTTGCTTACTTTGGAGTTTTTCTGAGCATTTTTTTTTGGTAATTTTTAAAATTATACCAGGTTTAAATTGGAAACATTTCCTGTTTGAATAAATTTGACTAACTTTGAGAGAGCATTCAATGATAATCTAATCACTGTAGATTATACTTAAGCCCTGATGACTTTATGTATTATTACCTATTTTTGGAATCAGGATGCTATAGTTTTGTTATTGATGTCATTTCCACTCTTAATGCTGAACTTGGCTTCTGAGAATTTAATCCACTTTTGTGTAACCTACTTCTGATAAGTATTTGTTTCTTGAACTATTGTAACAGTTTGCCAATTTTTAAATACAGGTAATGGGCTGGGAATTAGAATTGTCGGTGGTAAAGAAATTCCTGGACATGGTGGAGAAATTGGAGCCTATATTGCTAAGATTCTTCCTGGTGGAAGTGCAGAACACACGGGGAAACTTGTAGAAGGTAAGAATTAGAGACTATATAACAAAATACAGTGAGTTTGCTCATATTAAACATCATTTATTTGTATGAAATTAATAGCCAAATTTGTTTAAATTTTATGTCAGAAAATCTTGTGATTAACGGTGGTCAGTTTTGGCATAGCAGTGTTATAATGTATTACGATACAATGGAAAAATAAGATAATTTGACTTTCACTTGCATGGCTGTTTTGGCAGTTGACTAGCCACTAGTATACTTTACTTTAAAACACAGTCAAGATTTTTATTTATGGGTAATTTTTAAAACCTTTAACAACCTAGTTTAATATTATATTATAAAGAAGAAAATGTTACTGAAAGCAGCCATGAAAATATAAAACAAAATTCAGCAGAGGCTAAGGTCAGGTATCTAGCTACAGATGGCTAACAAGCCAAATCCATCTGCCACCTGCTCTTGTCAACAGTGTGTTTTGGAACATAGCCAGGATTACTAACGTAGTTGGAAACACGCTGCCATAGCAGAGACAGAGATTACGTGATCAGTGACATCCAAAGTATTTACTTCAGGAATTTGACGTTTTTTTTGTGGTTCTGTTTACATATAGACACTATTCACCCCACTGTGAACATTTTAAAATAACTTAAGCCTCGTCATCTTTACACAGCAAATTTATAGATGTATTCTATAAATTGCATTATGATAAATTCTGATTTTCTAAAAGATAATGTAACCCTTCTGTATGCAAATTCTATAACATATACATGCAATATTCATGAGCTACATATACATATATATATTAACTATTATACATATAGCTCATGACTTCTGTTGATATTGTTTATATTGAGCATTTGGTTATCACTAAAATGTTTATAAACTACTTTATTCTAAAAAAGGTGTTTATTTGGGAAAAGGTATTTTGGTCTCTTGTTTTAAATTTTGCCTGCTATTGCTCACAGTCTTTACTTTAAAATTGATTCACTGTCATTTTAAGTGAAATGTGTTAGAACCTACACACGTGGACCGTGGATATTTTTATAAGTCATTATTATAGAATTTAAATAGATGATACATGATATTTATTTGCCAAAATTAAGCTTAAGCCATTTTGTCCAGCTTATTGGAGCAGTCTGTATACATCCCTTCCAGTTTCAAATTCAGACACTTCACAACAGGTTTTTCAGTTGGTTGTGGTAGGGTTATTTAACATGGAGAGAGTAAAATGCTAAAATTCACTCCCTATTTTGGTTATTTGCTTTTAGAATGACTTTGTTTTATTTAGTTTCTATCTGTATGTCTGTCTGTCCATCTGTCCATGCATCCATCTAACTGTGTGTGTGTGTGTTTCAGTATTTTGTTTGTAAATGACCATGTACCTATATGTCTAACTCATACATATCTTGCTCTTCAGCATAAGCTTCTAGGAGATAAACCAGGTCTCAAAAACTTGCGGAGTGGTGGTGATACAGCTTTCATTTTTGACATTTATCACTTTTCATTTAATCACTGAAGATTGTATTTTGCCATGGATTTAACTACTAATCAAAGAATTTTTAAAATTTTTATTTCTGCTATTTGCTTTGTGATTAAAATTCCAAGATGTTTTTAACCCGTTGGTGTTGAGGTTTAAGTGCAGGAAGCTGGAGAGTCCTGTGCAGTCCCATGGTGGGTACCAGACAGAGCAGAGTGTTCCCTCTGGTGAGGCTTCCAAGTAAAAACACAAATAGTTACAGATAAAGATAAGAACATCAAATGAGATGCTCACATCCAGCAGAAACCGACGGAGCTTTCTGTCCCTGATGAGAGTCTCGTAGCTGGGCTCTCCTTTTCCACAGCAGGCACTTTGACTTGGAGTGAGGAGCAGCCATTCTTAAATGAAGGCCATCAAAAGACACTTTGGCACAAGTATCTTTGGGTCTGAAAGAGGATGTGGGCCATGAGACTGATGTTGGGGCTCATGCTGAAAGAACAGACAAGCAAAGCAGCTCTGACTTCTACCTCAGACTGAAATTGTAACCCTGGCTCCAGGAATCCTCAGAGGCAATGCACTCCCTGTCTGGAAACTAAATCTCACATGGGACCCTTTGCCTCTCCCTAATGCTGATATTAAAGGAGTGAGCTCTGTTACTCTTTTTGGCTGGCTCACTCTTGTGTAGCCGCGGGTGGCCTTGAATTATCAGAGATCCATCTGTCTGTCTCCTGAGTCCTGGGATTAAAGGTGTGTGCCACCACTGCCTGGCTTCTGTGGCTAACTAGTATGACTGCTGGAATTAAAGGCATGTATCATCACTGCCTGGCTTCATGACTGTCTAGCTTTGTATTTTTGATCTCCAGTGGATTTATTAGATCATGAACAACATATCACCACATGAGGCTGAATCCAGCTTCCAGAGTCAACTTCTTGGTGAGCTCAAACAGCACATGGCAGTTTGTCAATATAATATACATTACTAACTATTCTAAAAAGTCAAAAGTATTTTGATTTTTTCTCAAAAAACTGTCTCTATTTCATTCACAGGCTGATATATGTGTACATAAGCTTAAATTACAATTAATCCCATTAACACATACTTTCACTTATATATACCTTATTTATTGGTGAGGAAATTTAAGATTTATTCAGCAAATTTCAAGGACTCAGTAGAGTAACACCAACTGCCACTCACCGTGGATGCTGGTTTCCCCAAATTATTTTTCTGTGACTGAAAATTTCAATACATTGACCATTACCCCCATTTCCCTCAGTCTCAATATTCTACCTTCTGCTTTTAGGAATTGTAAGAATATTAGAATTTAAAGCTAAAGATTAATTATGAGATTCTGTGTCACAACTGCCTTTACAATTAAAGTTCTCTTCCTGACTCATTTATGTGAATTTTAAAATCATATCTCAGAAATGTTTGCAGTGCTCTGTGCATTTAACCTCTCAAATAATATCATGAAATAAAATTCAAATTGTCCTTTTGAGTATTCTCAGTGGAGATAATGACATTGCCACCTGTTCAACAGCACCTGTGTTTATTGGGAAACAATTTTCCTGAAAGAAAGTGATGATATTCTGTGATAAAACTATCATCTGAGTAATAGAGTACATTTACATGCCATTAAAAGAAGTTATTATGGATGTATGAATTTTAAAAAGGACTAAAGAAATAACAATAGAACTAGCAATGATTCAACCTGGACTCCTAAAGCAGAGGATGTAACTGACAGTTGTTTCATCCCTACTTTTAACTTCCTTTGCCCATTCAATTGACTATTCATCTCTTCATAATTCCCATACTTTTATATTCGGTATGTTTATATTAACTAGGCATGCTATTCTTCAGATGTGATAGTTTTAATATGCTAATATCATTTAATTAGAAAGCCATTAGAAACATCCATCCTAGATATATTAACAGAATCAACTAAGAAATTCAATTATAAATTTTTAAAATATCTGAACTTAAATCTGCTTAAAATGAGGTAGTGGCATTATGCATATTATATTATTTCCTGAGGATCAATCAAATTGTGCCAACATGCCCATTATCTTCTTGTTATTATTCAGTCATGTGTTGATTTTATCTTATTCTAGTAGTACACAGTATTCTAAGACAATGGATTATAGTAATAAATTTGCCTTGGCATGTGTATCAGTCCTTCAAGGAAATACTGTACCACAATGGTAGAATGTTTTAGTGATCATTATGAACAAAAAGAAAAAAATTTATCACAAAAATCTCAAGTTTAAGATGAAAATCCTGCCAAAATTTATTCCCTTCTTTTTGTTTCAGAACACTTGGATTGGCAATTTTTGTATTCAAGTATAAAAAATATATTACTTTATTTCAATAAATCAACTTAATCAATTGTCTCTTCAGCTGTTGGTAGGAAATTTCATTACTTTCATTAAATGGTGGTTTTGTCTTATATTCAATAAAAAAGTGCAATTAGGAATTTATTTTGTTTTTTATTCAGAAACAGTTGTATTTCCCACTTCCCTCTCCCTCCATGCTCCAATGCCCCTCACTGACATCCCCCATCCTACCCCCCATTCACTACCCAGGGAGGGTGAGGGCTAGGATCTCTCCCATGTATCAAGGCTGAAAAAGCATCCCTCCATGGGGAATGAGCTCCCAAAGTCCATTTGTGCACTAGGCATAAATACTGGTTCAACCTTCAGCAGTCCCATAGACTGCCCAGGCCTCCTAACTGGTACCCACATTCAGAGGGCTTCGTTGGGTTCAATTCTGATTCCCTAGTTTTATGACAGTGTTACATGAGCCCCCACTTGGTCAGGTCAGCTGTTTCTATGGGTCTCTCCAACATGGTCTTGGCCCCTTTGCTCGTTTTTTCTCCCTTTCGACAACTGGATTCCAGGAGTTCAGCTCACTGCTTAGCTGTGAATGTCTGCTTCTGCTTCCATCAGCTACTGGATGAAGGCCCTAGGATGGCATTTAAGGTAGTCATCAATCTCATTATAAGGGAAGGGCATTTAAGGTAGCCTCTTCACTATTGCACAGATTCTTATTAGGAATTTTGTACTTTCTAGAACACTGAAAATAATCCACAATACTGAGACTGCTTGTCAAAGCCAGGGTGCTTCTTCCAAGATGTGTGACTTCCTTACTGTGCCCTGCCTGGTGTTGGCAAGAGAAGTTCTGTATACAAGGGAAGCCATACAACTTAAGGACATCTTGTAGCAATTTTTCTTTGGGGTAGTACCATCTTCCATGGACCAAACAAGAAGATTTAATTGTTCCTAATTCTTTTGAAAAACTCAAACACATTTTCTTTGCTGAAAGTTATTCCCTAATTTAAATTCATGAATCTTTCCTGTATGGTTTACTTTCCGTCAGTTAACAGGATTGTATCCCATCCAAACTGGATTAATAGCAAGCATGCTCAGACAAGGATGATACTGACATCTCCCTAGCAGAGGGACAGAAAAAGATATGCAGAACTCCATCAACCTTGTTCCTTTCATTACTTACCCTAAAAATCACATAGCACATATCAGGTTTCTGTTTGTTCAC